GGTACCTAGGTGAGGTCGAATTTGCAGCTCACTCCTGCCTGGATGGGGATACTTTCGGAGAAACAAGGCTGTGCGAAATTCATTGAAAACTTGAGACCTGTTTATATGATTGTTGGAAAATTCAACTACCAATCCTTCATCGTCTTAAACGAAATGCGACGAATACATCTGATATCTTATCGGTCTTAACGATTCTCCGAATGAGGTGTGAATGTACGATTGGTAGGCTTATATCTTAAAGCGCCTCAAAGTTGCGTATGTGTGTATATATTTCTCCTCGAGTAGACACACCATTATACAAATATAAAGAGACAAATTACTTTCAAAATTAACATCCAGAAGCCATGAGTGAGATATTCCGGAATCGAGTGCACTTTGTGACCCACCAAACATCCCGGATGATATGAAGGTCTCGTGACCTTTTTCCCTCCTTGTTTCAGTTTCGACAATCGGTCCAAAAGCACATGTTGGTCTCGTATGTTGGGCAAGCCGTCTGACAGCCGTCGCAGCCTAGTCACTCTATCAGCTTGTCTCCAGGCCAAGGCAGTTCTTCTACTGCCCTTTCCTTCCTGCATGAGTCCTCTCAGAACCGGCAGACCTTAGATATGGACATTTCGCCTGTCGTCAAGCCTGTCGAACGGGCGGCATTTATGCGCGTCGCAATGCCTATTCTTGTCATTCGTCGCCTTTTCTGGTCCTGCTCTGCTACCGAAACACTTTTTGACTGCTCCATTAGAACAACAAACTTGGGTTCACAGTTTGTCACCTTTCGGCCCATCAATCCCAATGTTAGTCGACTCAAAAAAAGGCAGTATGGGGCAGCAGTATTTTGGGCTCACCTGCCCCTCAAGCTCCACCTTGACTTCGTCCAGCTTCTCTTGTCCATCTTTTTTGCGTGCTACCATGGTAACCTGTCTTTCTTCGGGACACCTTTTGTCTGATTGCCGCCATTCCTTGAGCAGGCATGTTCATATTAACGCCAAGTCTTGGATTCTCACTAAAGAGGGGACAAGTAAGTAGAACCCATATTCGGTTTGAGAAGGGTTCAAAGCAACCTGAATACAGAAGTTGTTTGACTTAATTTCCGCAACGGCCAAGAGGGACGCACCTTGTCCAAAGTCCATAGTACGCAAGATGATTTCCAGAGTTGGACCGTAGACTTGGTACATTCCTGTAAGTTAAGCCGGCCACTGCAGTAAGCTTTTCCAGTCCTAGCGCCATACTACAACTTGTCAAAGCGATAAGTGAATTCGATCCTTTGACCACTTGCCTACTGAACATTTGTGATATCTCTCCCTTGATACATTCATTTCTCCCCTATCTTCGTATCACCCCTTCGCCAACACAATTTCTTACTTGTTTTTTTCAAACCCAATTCAGCTGTACCCCTTTAGGGATATTTAACGAGACTTATACACACCTTCTCCGCTGTTTACTTCATATCCCCATACCCGCCCCACTCTGCTGGGAGTGTACATCCGAGCCTGCTCTTTTATATTCCGTTCTTGAGTTGTTTTGTCGAGACTACCAATAAATCTGTTATATGAGCTTTGTCCACCCAATTTTGCTTAAACTTATGAATGTCTGGTAGTTAAATTTTCTCAATAATATGAGTAGAGCTGACGTTCCGTTTGAATTTAACATAACCATTCTTTCCAAAAAAACATTCTAATCGAAGGAAGACTGAGGTTATGACCTCGCCTAGTCTATGTGAACTCCAATGGAAATGTTATATCTAGTCTAATGAAGGTGGGAGAATTCAACGAAATAGAGTGAACACAATTCAATCTGCCCCGTATCATCCGTCTCTTATCTCCCTGTTTCAGCGATCACACTCGAAAACTGCCATTATGTCCGGGCTACTTGAGGCATTATGGTCTATACTTTGCCTCTAACCCTTCCTAATATGTATACTCCCGCCTCGCTGAGCACAGGCCTCCAAAGTCCAGATTCTCGATTCGGATGAGAAATAAACTTGATTCAGCAACATTCGACATGTGCACCGGGAAAATCTTTACTTGACAGGCCACGTCCATAATGAAATCCATCTTTTATTAACCAACTATGTATGGTCTGCACTGCATCTCTCTTTTTTTCAGCTTCTATCCATAATGCCAGGTCTCTTGCTTTCCGATGCCTCTATTTCTCGTTGCCGAACTCAAAATGTGATGCTTGTTCCACTTGCAATGATACAGCTCACTGTATATGTCTCATCTTGATTTCGATTGTTCCTCTGTGGCTTCCTCCTTGCAATTTCTTTCCCCTAAATTGATAACACCATCCTGGTCTTGCTACGTTCAATCAGACAAGAATACAGCTCTTGCTCAATATATACTATAAGTTTAGCTACCTACTCAA